CCCCAAAACCCCAAAACCCCAAAACCCCACAGTAAGTTCTAGAAATTGAAAATACATCAATATCAAAATTAATGCTTACAAAATAAACCCAAAGAGCAAAATAAGTTCAACAAAATTATCTTAAAACTAGCTAATCCTAAAATTCCTCCCATTCACTAAAACTAGCCCTAAACATAATTCCTCAAATCCTTAAACCAACTTAGAGTTATTCCATCAGAGGACTGTCCACTTCACTGACCACACTAACATGGGCTAGGTCATGAGCAATCAGCAGTTCAGCTACTTTAGATATTGAGATCTTACATCTACGAACATTGATGGTGCTGAGGGAGTTCTTGAGAGACGAATTCTTAATGGCCACTATAATCTTCTCAAATCTGGCTGGGTACTTGCCCCATTCTTCAGAGCACCAGTCTTGAACTCCACAATTAACAAAACTGAGATACTGGAGTTTGGCCTGAGAGGGAGTGGAGAAGTCCAAAGAGTCTGAAGTTGAAATTTTGCTATTACGAATAGTCAACCTTTCAGAGTTCACACAAGCCTTCACAATCTGGCTCAGATCACTTGCATCAACGATCAAGTATTCCAAATAAACCTCTTTGGTCACATTGGCAAGCAGGGTTTGCATGCCTTCCTCATAAAACTTTATCTCCACAGCATTACTTCCGTCTGATCCGAGATAGTTGTGGTTAAATGAAAGCAGTCTGAGGGAGGATGGACTGCAGTTCTTGAGGAAGTTATTCAGAGTATGGTCTTCATTGGAGATGTAATCAATCTGAAGTCTGTTCATATCTCCGAAAGAGTATTTCGATTCTCCCATTGCTTTGACTAAGTTCTTGGATTTGTCTTCTGACATGTTAAGTTCTAATTCTTTGGATTCAAGGTTGAAGTCTGGCCAGATACTTTTGATATGATCTATGATCTTTTCTTTAAACTCTTCTATCTGTCTTGTATTTTCTTTATTTTTATGTGATTATCTTTTAGTTTACTTACCTTCACTCATTTTGAAGATTTCTTCCTGATATTTCTTGTTTTGATCTTTGACTTGCTTGATCTCCTCTACTTTCTGTGATAACTTTCTTTCAAGTTGCTCTTTCAGGTCTTGTAGGACCTGATTCTTAGAGAATGCTTCTTGCTTTTGTTTGAGCATATCTTGGGCTTGTCTGAGAATCTGCTCTGTCTCTTGTTTCTGTTCCTCTATTTCTATGTCTTGAGCTTCTTTCTGTGCTTGCAATGTCTGGATACGCTCTTTGAACTCTTCTGAAAGTCTGTCTTTGAATTGCTGTTCAATTTCTCTGGCTTCTTCTGCCAGTTTTTTCTCCATCAATTTAACATTTTGCTTGACAACAGTATCAATTGTTTGCTCAACCTTGATGGCTGAAGAGAATTCTACAAGTCAGAATTGTTGCTTACCATCGCTGACCCTCGGAAGACCATATCTACTAGCACCTCTAGTGGTGGACAAGAATAAGATGTCTTTGATGACTTGTTCATCGGCCATGTGGTTCTGTATCCTATATGCAAATGAGAGCTGATAAAGCTTCACTCAGTTGAAGAGTGTAAAATTGAAGATAGTTGGAGGTGTACTCTCTTATTTGAGATCTGAGAGTGTCATATTGCTCATGGTGATCATGAGCAATGGCTTCATTTATCTTCCTTTCAATCTCAGTCAAGTCTCCCTGATAATCTTTGATGACACTATCAATGTTCGGAAGATAAACTTCCAACCCATTCTCTGTTGCAAGTTCCTGAAACCTCATGACATGTCTCTGAACCTCTTTGACATCAGTTCTGAGATCTGTGAGGTCTTGGATGATAGCAAGTTGGCATTTGTAATGCATTTTGCTGGAACATCCTTTGCAAGAATAAACTTGATGGTCTCTGCAGAAGTAAAACCTGTGATTTTGGCATGCAAGATCGCTGCATTGTAATCTAAAACAAATTTACACATTCTGAAATTAAACACATCACCCAAAATAGGCTAGCCTACCTTCTAGGTATAACTTGACTGTTTTTCATATTAGAAACAAAATCCTGTAATTTAGTAATTAAAATTCAACACCAATTTATACATACGGGGTTTTGGGGTTTTGGGGTTTTGGGG